CTATCTTCGCTGGTCTTCCTTCTTCTTCCTTTTCAATATTCTCTCTATTATACCTTTTATATCATAATAATATTTTTCCTCAATCCAGTCCTTTATATTTTCCTTACTTACTTCCTTTGGCCATCTTCTTCTTTCCTCTTCGTATTTTAAACATTCCACTATTACATGCCATTCCGTTTCCTTCCTTCCACATGTGCAAAGTTCATTTCCAACAATTCCTCTCTTCTTTAAATATACTCCGAAATCTCCATGTCCGCTCAGCACCTGCGTCATGTAATGACCGGGTCTTAGCCATTTCATTTCCAATCTCTTTTTTATACTTGGGATTGCTTCTTTTGTCTTTTGCCCTTTTTCTGATCTCTCCCATCTCTCTTGCCATATTTCATTTTTGATTTCCCGGATTTGTCCTTTGAGTCCTTCTCTTTTTAATTGCCTTCCTTCCCATGTTATTTCTAATCCTTTCTTGGCTCTCCTCTTTATCATTCTTCCCTCAGCCTCGATGTCCAGAGGCATTATTCCCGCTATGACCATCAATGCTTCGCTAGATACTGATCTGTAGGCTCCTGTTAGAGCAATCGCTGCAACCCTTTGCCCTTTTATCAATTTCTGTGACCCTTTACTTTTTGTGATGCGATCATACCAGGCAGCTGCACCATATAGTGCTATTGGCACAAACACCGCCTCATATATTTTCTTCATTACATCATAGACCTGCATATTCCACGCTATTTTCATCATCCTTATGACTCTTCTGAAGTTTTCATTTGCCTTTTGCACTGCTTCATCAATATGCTCGTTTATTCGCCAGCCTTTTTCCCATAATACACCCAAATATTTTATTTTTTGGGTCATTTTGATTTCTATATTCCCATAAGATATAATCGGGTTTCTCTTCATACTACCTTTCAAGAACATCATCCTTGTTTTTTCCGCTGAGATCTTCATTTTATTACTAGAGCACCACTCCACCATCTTACTTAAAACTTTTCTACCTTCTACTTCTATTTCTCTTCTCGACTCACCCCATAGAATCACCACACAGTCATCCGCAAAAGCAACCATCTCCCAGCCTATTGTCTTTACCACTCTTATCAGTTCATCTATAAGAACCTTCCACAATTGCGGACCCAACACTGAGCCTTGTGGACATCCTCTATTTACTTCCTTTACTACCCTTCTGCCAGCCTCCCTCATTTCTACTTTTCGTCCTGTTAGATAGTCCCTTATTGTCCTATAGCAGCTTCTCTTGATGCCTTTATTCCTTAGTATGTTCATAACTCCTGGCCACCATACTCTGTCAAATGCGGCCTCCATATCGATAAATACTCCTAGCACTATTTTTTCCGTTCTTCTTTCTATTACATTTGTAATCCTTTCCATAGCATCTTCAGTTGATCTCCCTGGCATAAATCCATACTGCTCTCTACTTATTTCTGTAACAAATATCCTTTCCATATCCTTAACTATTAGTCTCTCCAGTAGTTTTCCCAATACTGGCAATAAACAAATCGGTCTATATGATTTAATTGCTTTCTCGGATGAGAAGAATATATCAGCGTGAAAATGTGGAGGTGACCACGTGGTCCACAGTTTTTGGGAATTTTGTTAATTTGGGGGTGGTTCTGGGGAATTCCGTTTTGATAATTATTTAGATTCTATTAAGTAGTAAATTTTGTCAAAATTTTATTTGAATCGGTGCAGTAGGGAGTTCGTAGTAGGCGAAAATAGGTCACCACGTGGCCTTGTTTGGTTTAAAATTTAAATTGTTTTTTTTTTGTTATATTTAGTTTTTGGGGGTTTTTAGACAAAATGAGTGAAAAAGAGGTGGATGAGTCGGTCAGGGAGAGTGCTGAGAGCACCCATGACAGCTCTATGGAGATCTCTTCTCCTGAAGGAGATTTAATGAGCGAGATAATAGCTTCAGGGGGGGGGGCCTACAAATGTTGTAGAGGTTGCAGGAGTGGAATTACTGAGGAGTTTAGAAGAGATAAAAATGTATTTAGAAAGGAACTTCTCAAAGAAGCATGCGAAATACTTTAACAAACGATGCGACAAAGTTGTGGATAGATGGATAGATTACAACGCAGCGGGATCGAATACTCGAGCTCCTAACCACGCTATGTGTAGACTAATATCCGTAGTTGATGAAGTTCATTCAAGAGCCTTATGTGACTGGAACAAATAAGATACCGGAATTTGGAATGGGGAGCAAAATAATAATGGGAAACAAAATAGATGAAAAATCTTGGGCAGCGGTGGTGGTATTAAACCCACAAGTGCAAATCATGAAAATTCCTGAACTATCAAATAGTCATTGTGTGGTTGTGGAAGTGATGCCAAAGGGAGCAAAGAGCTTTTACATAGTAAATGTATATTGCCAATTTAAAGATGGTATAGAGAGGTATTTGACTATGATAGAGAGAGCAATAACAAAATTGGATGGAAAAGACATATTAATCACAATGGATGCAAATGCAAAAAGTCCTATTTGGGGAGGACAAAAAGCCGATGAAAAAGGAATAGCACTAATGGAAATGATAGCAGCCCAGAAGCTGAATATTATTAACGATATAAGTGAAGGTCCAACGTTTATAAGAGGAGGAGCAAAATCTCACATTGATGTGACTATTGCTACAAATAATTTGAAGGAGAAAGTAAGCAAATGGAGCATAAACTGGCTGTGGACAAGTAGTCCGCATGTGTAGACTGATATCCGTAGTTGATGAAGCTTTGCCTTGTAGGCTCAAGGGGTCGGTTCTTGATTGAACCCTAGGGTTAATCATCACTCGCCGGCTACGGAATCGCAGACATTCTCTTGTTATAATTGAACTGCATGGTGGAACAGTTAATTTACCGGTTTAATGATGTTTTTTAGCATTATTGTACTTTCAAACATCTCCTGGGATTAAGGAATATTTGGAATGCTTCAGGAGAATAGGCCATGAATTCAGAAATAAGAATGTTGAAGACATGTATGGGTGCGAATATTAAGGATAAGAAGTGGGGCGCAAGTGCTTTGAATGAAAGTGGAATAGAACTTGAATGTTGTGTGGATTAGATGGGTCTTTACGAATGGCAACACCACTCCTGTGCTAAGGCCTAGCCCTTCTTTTTATTTTTTGAGTTGGAAGGTAATGGGAAGGTCCCAGTCGGGAATTGTTGTAGGGCACGGTCCCTAGCTCCGAAATGGTATTTGGATTGCAAGAAGATCTTCGGTATTGTTAGAGGTGGAGTGTAATTCCTTTTTAAAAACGAGGTACAGAACTTCAATCTTGTGTGGATTAGATGGAATCGGTTTTCATAAATAACAGTAGTTCATCGTTCTTCGTATTGCCTATTCCGTAGTATTTCTATCGTCGATGACACTTAGTCTTACAGGCGCAAGCAGACGATTCTCGAATGAGCCTGGGCTCATTCGTCCGTTAGAGGTCAGAGGTTAGAAGGAATCCTTTCAATCCGTAGTGCCGCATGGTGTTCCACTTAATCGAAAATACTTCTTAGCATCAGTGCACTTCCGAAACTCAATAATAAAGAGGAAATAAAGAGATGGCCCATTAAATAAATCCAAATAGCTGTCCAGTCTTGGAAATGACACGTGTAATGTTAAAGCGCAACATCCAATATGCTTGAGTTAAAAATTGCGCAGGTAAATATAGCTTTGGAATGAATGCTAGAGTGATGGCGAGTAGAGGTTAGCGGCCGTTTAGTGCGATAGTTGTTATGGACCCTACCGTGAGTGTTATGCACAAGAGGGAGAGTGGTTGAAAGTGGTTAAGAATGGGAAGAAGGGTCAATGGGTTCGTTTGGAAATGCCTGGTGGTGAGGCAAAGTGGAGTAAAGAGGAGGTAGTGGCCTGTTTAGATGCCAAACAGGGTGATGTACGTGTAAGGGGGTTAGTCGAAAGAGGGAATAACTATGTAATAGAAGTACATGACAGAACGGATTTAGAAAAGTTGAGACAGAACGAAGGTTGGAAGAGAAAGGTGTGATTGTTGACGGTGAGAAAGGATGGAGAATGCCACGTGTGAGAGTGCTTGATGTTCAGAATGAGATATGGAAGAACGATCTCCTAGAGTGTGTGCATAGGAGAAATGAGATTTCGTTTGATGGAATGACCATGGATAAATGTAAGAGTGAGTATGTGCCTGAATATATAACAAAGAAGAAGGATGCATTTAGTGATTGGGTCGTGCGGGTGAGTCCACGGTTGTTTAAGAGATTGTGTATTGGTGGTAGAATGTATGCGGGAGTGAGTGAATGAATATTTGGGTATTAGAAAGAGTTGGAAGTGCCATCGTTTCGGCCATTCTGGGAGTAGGTGTGATGTAATTATAACGTTTGGATGGTGTGGTGCGGATGGGCATCATGAAGTCTCATGCGATAAGAGAGATGAGCAGGAGGGACTGCAATGCGTGAACTGCAAAAGATATGGCTATAAGGAGACGGCTCACTCGGTACACTCGGGTAATTGCCTTATTTTTGAAATGCAGCGGGCTATGCTAAAACGGAACACTCAGTATGAATGATTTGAAAATAGCACAACTAAATACGGATAGGGCAATGGTGGTGACGACGGAATTGCGTGAATGGTCTGTGTGTAATGGAGTGACTGTAGTAGCGGTGCCAGAGCCGTGGGTGAGTAGAAAAGGTGGTGGTATAACTGGGTTTGGTATGAATGTATGCATGTATGTATAAGGGTGGTTCTGGGGAATTCCGTTTTGATAATTATTTAGATTCTATTAAGTAGTAAATTTTGTCAAAATTTTATTTGAATCGGTGCAGTAGGGAGTTCGTAGTAGGCGAAAATAGGTCACCACGTGGCCTTGTTTGGTTTAAAATTTAAATTGTTTTTTGTTATATTTAGTTTTTGGGGGTTTTTAGACAAAATGAGTGAAAAAGAGGTGGATGAGTCGGTCAGGGAGAGTGCTGAGAGCACCCATGACAGCTCTATGGAGATCTCTTCTCCTGAAGGAGATTTAATGAGCGAGATAATAGCTTAAGGGGGGGGGCCTACAAATGTTGTAGAGGTTGCAGGAGTGGAATTACTGAGGAGTTTAGAAGAGATAAAAATGTATTTAGAAAGGAACTTCTCAAAGAAGCATGCGAAATACTTTAACAAACGATGCGACAAAGTTGTGGATAGATGGATAGATTACAACGCAGCGGGATCGAATACTCGAGCTCCTAACCACGCTATGTGTAGACTAATATCCGTAGTTGATGAAGTTCATTCAAGAGCCTTATGTGACTGGAACAAATAAGATACCGGAATTTGGAATGGGGAGCAAAATAATAATGGGAAACAAAATAGATGAAAAATCTTGGGCAGCGGTGGTGGTATTAAACCCACAAGTGCAAATCATGAAAATTCCTGAACTATCAAATAGTCATTGTGTGGTTGTGGAAGTGATGCCAAAGGGAGCAAAGAGCTTTTACATAGTAAATGTATATTGCCAATTTAAAGATGGTATAGAGAGGTATTTGACTATGATAGAGAGAGCAATAACAAAATTGGATGGAAAAGACATATTAATCACAATGGATGCAAATGCAAAAAGTCCTATTTGGGGAGGACAAAAAGCCGATGAAAAAGGAATAGCACTAATGGAAATGATAGCAGCCCAGAAGCTGAATATTATTAACGATATAAGTGAAGGTCCAACGTTTATAAGAGGAGGAGCAAAATCTCACATTGATGTGACTATTGCTACAAATAATTTGAAGGAGAAAGTAAGCAAATGGAGCATAAACTGGCTGTGGACAAGTAGTCCGCATGTGTAGACTGATATCCGTAGTTGATGAAGCTTTGCCTTGTAGGCTCAAGGGGTCGGTTCTTGATTGAACCCTAGGGTTAATCATCACTCGCCGGCTACGGAATCGCAGACATTCTCTTGTTATAATTGAACTGCATGGTGGAACAGTTAATTTACCGGTTTAATGATGTTTTTTAGCATTATTGTACTTTCAAACATCTCCTGGGATTAAGGAATATTTGGAATGCTTCAGGAGAATAGGCCATGAATTCAGAAATAAGAATGTTGAAGACATGTATGGGTGCGAATATTAAGGATAAGAAGTGGGGCGCAAGTGCTTTGAATGAAAGTGGAATAGAACTTGAATGTTGTGTGGATTAGATGGGTCTTTACGAATGGCAACACCACTCCTGTGCTAAGGCCTAGCCCTTCTTTTTATTTTTTGAGTTGGAAGGTAATGGGAAGGTCCCAGTCGGGAATTGTTGTAGGGCACGGTCCCTAGCTCCGAAATGGTATTTGGATTGCAAGAAGATCTTCGGTATTGTTAGAGGTGGAGTGTAATTCCTTTTTAAAAACGAGGTACAGAACTTCAATCTTGTGTGGATTAGATGGAATCGGTTTTCATAAATAACAGTAGTTCATCGTTCTTCGTATTGCCTATTCCGTAGTATTTCTATCGTCGATGACACTTAGTCTTACAGGCGCAAGCAGACGATTCTCGAATGAGCCTGGGCTCATTCGTCCGTTAGAGGTCAGAGGTTAGAAGGAATCCTTTCAATCCGTAGTGCCGCATGGTGTTCCACTTAATCGAAAATACTTCTTAGCATCAGTGCACTTCCGAAACTCAATAATAAAGAGGAAATAAAGAGATGGCCCATTAAATAAATCCAAATAGCTGTCCAGTCTTGGAAATGACACGTGTAATGTTAAAGCGCAACATCCAATATGCTTGAGTTAAAAATTGCGCAGGTAAATATAGCTTTGGAATGAATGCTAGAGTGATGGCGAGTAGAGGTTAGCGGCCGTTTAGTGCGATAGTTGTTATGGACCCTACCGTGAGTGTTATGCACAAGAGGGAGAGTGGTTGAAAGTGGTTAAGAATGGGAAGAAGGGTCAATGGGTTCGTTTGGAAATGCCTGGTGGTGAGGCAAAGTGGAGTAAAGAGGAGGTAGTGGCCTGTTTAGATGCCAAACAGGGTGATGTACGTGTAAGGGGGTTAGTCGAAAGAGGGAATAACTATGTAATAGAAGTACATGACAGAACGGATTTAGGAAAGTTGAGACAGAACGAAAGGTTGGAAGAGAAAGGTGTGATTGTTGACGGTGAGAAAGGATGGAGAATGCCACGTGTGAGAGTGCTTGATGTTCAGAATGAGATATGGAAGAACGATCTCCTAGAGTGTGTGCATAGGAGAAATGAGATTTCGTTTGATGGAATGACCATGGATAAATGTAAGAGTGAGTATGTGCCTGAATACATAACAAAGAAGAAGGATGCATTTAGTGATTGGGTCGTGCGGGTGAGTCCACGGTTGTTTAAGAGATTGTGTATTGGTGGTAGAATGTATGCGGGAGAATGAATATTTGGGTATTAGAAAGAGTTGGAAGTGCCATCGTTTCGGCCATTCTGGGAGTAGGTGTGATGTAATTATAACGTTTGGATGGTGTGGTGCGGATGGGCATCATGAAGTCTCATGCGATAAGAGAGATGAGCAGGAGGGACTGCAATGCGTGAACTGCAAAAGATATGGCTATAAGGAGACGGCTCACTCGGTACACTCGGGTAATTGCCTTATTTTTGAAATGCAGCGGGCTATGCTAAAACGGAACACTCAGTATGAATGATTTGAAAATAGCACAACTAAATACGGATAGGGCAATGGTGGTGACGACGGAATTGCGTGAATGGTCTGTGTGTAATGGAGTGACTGTAGTAGCGGTGCCAGAGCCGTGGGTGAGTAGAAAAGGTGGTGGTATAACTGGGTTTGGTATGAATGTATGCATGTATGTATGAGGGTGGTTCTGGGGAATTCCGTTTTGATAATTATTTAGATTCTATTAAGTAGTAAATTTTGTCAAAATTTTATTTGAATCGGTGCAGTAGGGAGTTCGTAGTAGGCGAAAATAGGTCACCACGTGGCCTTGTTTGGTTTAAAATTTAAATTGTTTTTTTTTTTGTTATATTTAGTTTTTGGGGGTTTTTAGACAAAATGAGTGAAAAAGAGGTGGATGAGTCGGTCAGGGAGAGTGCTGAGAGCACCCATGACAGCTCTATGGAGATCTCTTCTCCTGAAGGAGATTTAATGATCGAGATAATAGCTTCAGGGGGGGGGGGCCTACAAATGTTGTAGAGGTTGCAGGAGTGGAATTACTGAGGAGTTTAGAAGAGATAAAAATGTATTTAGAAAGGAACTTCTCAAAGAAGCATGCGAAATACTTTAACAAACGATGCGACAAAGTTGTGGATAGATGGATAGATTACAACGCAGCGGGATCGAATACTCGAGCTCCTAACCACGCTATGTGTAGACTAATATCCGTAGTTGATGAAGTTCATTCAAGAGCCTTATGTGACTGGAACAAATAAGATACCGGAATTTGGAATGGGGAGCAAAATAATAATGGGAAACAAAATAGATGAAAAATCTTGGGCAGCGGTGGTGGTATTAAACCCACAAGTGCAAATCATGAAAATTCCTGAACTATCAAATAGTCATTGTGTGGTTGTGGAAGTGATGCCAAAGGGAGCAAAGAGCTTTTACATAGTAAATGTATATTGCTAATTTAAAGATGGTATAGAGAGGTATTTGACTATGATAGAGAGAGCAATAACAAAATTGGATGGAAAAGACATATTAATCACAATGGATGCAAATGCAAAAAGTCCTATTTGGGGAGGACAAAAAGCCGATGAAAAAGGAATAGCACTAATGGAAATGATAGCAGCCCAGAAGCTGAATATTATTAACGATATAAGTGAAGGTCCAACGTTTATAAGAGGAGGAGCAAAATCTCACATTGATGTGACTATTGCTACAAATAATTTGAAGGAGAAAGTAAGCAAATGGAGCATAAACTGGCTGTGGACAAGTAGTCCGCATGTGTAGACTGATATCCGTAGTTGATGAAGCTTTGCCTTGTAGGCTCAAGGGGTCGGTTCTTGATTGAACCCTAGGGTTAATCATCACTCGCCGGCTACGGAATCGCAGACATTCTCTTGTTATAATTGAACTGCATGGTGGAACAGTTAATTTACCGGTTTAATGATGTTTTTTAGCATTATTGTACTTTCAAACATCTCCTGGGATTAAGGAATATTTGGAATGCTTCAGGAGAATAGGCCATGAATTCAGAAATAAGAATGTTGAAGACATGTATGGGTGCGAATATTAAGGATAAGAAGTGGGGCGCAAGTGCTTTGAATGAAAGTGGAATAGAACTTGAATGTTGTGTGGATTAGATGGGTCTTTACGAATGGCAACACCACTCCTGTGCTAAGGCCTAGCCCTTCTTTTTATTTTTTGAGTTGGAAGGTAATGGGAAGGTCCCAGTCGGGAATTGTTGTAGGGCACGGTCCCTAGCTCCGAAATGGTATTTGGATTGCAAGAAGATCTTCGGTATTGTTAGAGGTGGAGTGTAATTCCTTTTTAAAAACGAGGTACAGAACTTCAATCTTGTGTGGATTAGATGGAATCGGTTTTCATAAATAACAGTAGTTCATCGTTCTTCGTATTGCCTATTCCGTAGTATTTCTATCGTCGATGACACTTAGTCTTACAGGCGCAAGCAGACGATTCTCGAATGAGCCTGGGCTCATTCGTCCGTTAGAGGTCAGGGGTTAGAAGGAATCCTTTCAATCCGTAGTGCCGCATGGTGGTCCACTTAATCGAAAATACTTCTTAGCATCAGTGCACTTCCGAAACTCAATAATAAAGAGGAAATAAAGAGATGGCCCATTAAATAAATCCAAATAGCTGTCCAGTCTTGGAAATGAGACGTGTAATGTTAAAGCGCAACATCCAATATGCTTGAGTTAAAAATTGCGCAGGTAAATATAGCTTTGGAATGAATGCTAGAGTGATGGCGAGTAGAGGTTAGCGGCCGTTTAGTGCGATAGTTGTTATGGACCCTACCGTGAGTGTTATGCACAAGAGGGAGAGTGGTTGAAAGTGGTTAAGAATGGGAAGAAGGGTCAATGGGTTCGTTTGGAAATGCCTGGTGGTGAGGCAAAGTGGAGTAAAGAGGAGG